AGACATTTCTAAGAACAGCGTTAAATAAAAACTAACGTTTTCAAGCTCAAGGCACTGAGTCAAAAGGGACCCAGACACACAGCGCCGCCTTTCGCACCCGGGTACCATTAGACTCAAGCTATTCGGATGTAATTTGTGGTCGTTTATTCTAGTTGAACTGAAGAATTAAGTTTACAAATATATAGTCCATTCAATTATCTTTCATTTGATACCTCATTTTGTCTTACAAACCCAACAATAAAATTTTAAATAGTTTTTTTTTGAATCCCAACCTCTCACTTCTGGAACCCGGATATGAATAATCGCAGCCGACTTTAAACAGTTTTTTGTTAAAATAGTTTTCGCTTGCTTCTGGCTATTAAAATCCCCCTTGATCATTTTTTGTTGAGTTATACTTCTTTCAGAAAGGACACTTCAGACATGTCTGTTCTTTCAACTATCCATTAGCCGGCAGACGGCTGGCGGAGTGTGTGTCATGTTACAGTTTCCGGTTTCCAGATAACTCTTAAAAAAATGCCGACAACAGTCCTCCCCCCACCCCCACCACATCTACCTGGGGCTACAACCACTTCGATTAAATTATATTTCTGAAGGCAGAATACACCAGACAGAGAAGCTTGAGCTACTTTCAGAACTACTATTTAGAGGCCTGGGTCGTCTTGGTGCAAGATATGGTTAAACAAAGAGCGGGGTGTATAAGATAAAGTTACAGCGTCCAGGACTAAAGGGAGACCATAATCTTATAAAATTACATCTTTAGGACACCAACTTCCCAAACGATAAGTCCCTTGCAGCAGTGGTTCTCAAGGGGGTGGTCCGAGGATTATCACCGGCCCGAAAACATTTCTTTTCGGGTCCGCACAACTTGCGTAAAGAAACTGGAGTTAAAAAAGTTTAATGTGTCCGCTTATCAAAACTACATTTCAACAACAAAAAACACCCGTTAGTCGCATCTAGAAGTGCCCGGGAAGCTGGTGCATTATGCCAGGAAACTGATGCTGTATTCCTGGGAAGCTGGTGCTGTATAATATGCCTGGGAAGCTGGTGCTGTATGCCCGGGAAACTGGTGCATTATGCCGGGAAACTGGTGCTGTATGCCTGGGAAGCTGATGCAGTATGCCGAGAAGTTGGTGCTGTGTGCCTGGGAGGCTGGTGCTGTAAGCCTGGGAAGCTGGTGCACTGTGCCTGGGAAGCTGGTGCTGTAAGCCTGGGAAGCTGGTGCTGTAAGCTTGGGAAGCTGATGCTGTAAGCCTTGGAAGCTGGTGCTGTAAGCCCGGGAAGCCGGTGCTGTATGCCTGGGAAGCTGGTGCAGTATACCAAGAAGCTGATGCTGTATGCCTGGGAAGCTGGTGCAGTATGCCCGGAAGCTGGTGCTGTATGCCTGAGAAGCTGGTGCAGTATACCGAGAAACTGGTGCTGTATGCCTGGGAAGCTGGAGCAGTATGCCGGGAAGCTGGTGCTGTATGCCTGGAAGCTGGTACAGTATACAGAGAAGCTGGTGATGTATGCCTGAGAAGCTTGTGCTGTAAAACTGGGAAGCTAATGCAGTATGCCGGGAAATTTTACAAATAAGAAAACATCGAGAAAATTAGAAGATGAAACAAGGGCAGACCAATTTAATATAATATTTTTGCCTTGACAAACCCTTTTTATATACATTTTCATCTTTACAATCCGGTTTTGAATAAATTGATGTCTTTAGAAACCAGTTATGTATATAAAACTTGTTTGTAGAGACAACAATGTAAATAAACTGGTTTGTAAAGACAAAAACCAGGTTATATACATTGTTGTCTTTTAAAGTGTATGGCTCAACATTCTGTGGGGAACAAACGGGAAACATAAAACACAATATTATTACATAATTAAAGCTCAATAAAAAGAAGACAACAATTAAAATAACTATCACTTGTCCAGGGGCATTGGTCAACGTGTCTACCGGGCCATCAAATTTAAAAGGTTGGGAAGCACTGTCTTAGAGTTCTCTCCATAGACATTTCATAAACGTGCGCTGTTCTCAACAAAGCCATTCCCCCACCACAAGTATCCGATAGATAAAGCTACCAGTAATTTACAGCCAGGTTTGATTGAACCCAACGGGTAAAACAGTATACAGAGTAGTATACAATACACAGCGATGATGTTATGGCCGTCACTTGCGCTTTGTCATGTTCGTTTCTACCCCAGTAAATGTAAGTCATGATTGCCACTGAAAGCCAATAACAGACATTTAAAAATGCGACTTACGTCATAGTGATGGTCAGGGGGCTCCCATGGGTAACAGGACGTGTAGTTGGTCCAGTTGCCAAGCCATGTGCCGTTAGGGAGACATGTCCGGTAAGCTCTTTTATCTGTGGGAGGGAATTATAGATTTAGACAGGTCGAAGCCGTGATGCGATGACTGTAAGAAAGGTGGCATTAGTGAATATAAGACAAGAGACACTGTAAATATAAGACATGAGGCATAGTGAATTTAAGACATGAGACACAGTGAATGTAAGACTCTTGGCATTGATCTTCAAGCGCTTCAGTATCAAAAGGACTGTTTTTAATTTTAAATATACATTTCTGGTGCAGGAGGAAATATAAACATTTCTGGGGAAAAAGTACGGAAGATGACATACAATATACAACAATCCATAAAAACAGAGAATCTGACAGAAACTCATTACTAAATAATCCAACTTTTGAAGAAAAAAAAATCTAAATCAAGCCAACGCAAAAACAGTTATCAAGACAGCCAGGAGAAGACAGTTATCAACACAGCCAGGAGAAGACAGTTTTTTATTTATTTTATTTATTTAGGCATTTTTATATAGCGCTTACCTTAAAGCTCTAAGCGCTTTACAATTATTAAAAACATGTAAACTAACTAAAATAAAAAATGAGACATTAGGATAGTAACTACTATACTATAGAAACAATTAAAATGGCTATAAAACGAGGACACTTTGGCACGTTTTGGACCATATTACAGGATTAACCCGAGACAGAAAATGAGGCAGGGCAAGGAGGGTGCATCACAGGTCATAGGCGGACCTAAACATATGGGTTTTAAGGGACTATTTAAAAGTGGACGAGGTTTCACAATGACGGATATGGAAGGGGAGCTGGTTCCAAGTTATCAAGACAGCCAGGAGAAAAAAGCTATCAAGACAGTCAGGAGAAAACAGCTATCAAGACAGTCAGGAGAAAACAGCTATCAAGACAGCCAGGAGAAAACAGTTATAAAGACAGCCAGGAGAAAACAGCTATCAAGACAGTCAGGAGAAAACAGTTATCAAGACAGCTAGGTGAAAATACTATCAAGACAGTCATTAGAAAACAGGTATCAAGAAAGCCAGGGGAAAACTGCTATCAAGACAGCCACAACAAAACTGATATCAAGACAGCTAGGAGAAATAAATGGCCAAAAGACACCCGCAGAGTTAGATCTACCTAAGGATGGACCAAGAGCATATTCTCTTATAAGGAAAAGGCGGGAATCGAACATAAATTAAATATAATATGAAAAAAGAAAAAAAAATAGGTGGAGATGTCGCACAAATCTTCAGCAAACATATTGCCTCAATCAACAAGGCAACCGTAAAGACAGACAGTGACCGATCCTAACAATGACCTAACGCCCAAAGAGTGAAAGAGCGAGCTCCTGGTGCAAGCATTATCCTTCTCGAAGAGATCTTCCCACAATGTGAGCTGAACAGGGCTTTGAAGGTGCTTGTTAAGGACTTGAATGTATTGTGTGATTTCGTGTTGTTTAGAGAGTATTTGAGTAGATGTTGTAATTAAATTTTTGAATATTTTGTGACGTATTGCGCGAAAGGGGATATGACGTATTATTATTTTGTAGTTTTGGTTGTGGAGTGTTGTTCTTTGATTACAGTAACAGCAGTTGAAGAATTAGTTGATTAATAAAGATATTTCATCTAAGAATTATAGTTGTGAAGTGTATATATTAAACCCCTAGAAAACGAAGCCAATGAACCTATTAAGTAAGAATAGGTTTGTAACAGTGCTAAAATCTGGTAAAGCACCATGACCAGATAAAAACCATAACGAGATGATAATGATAGTCAAATTGGGCCCTACGGGGAAAATGCAATATTCGATCTCTTAGATACCACTTGAAGCTAAGGCGAAAACCATAAAATCTGTAAAAATTTGCAGAAAGCATTATCTCTTGCTACCAATGGAGACGATTGTTAATAACTTGCATTCTCAAAATACACCAAGCACTCTTCAGAGCCGGGCAGCGTACTGATAATAAACTCTTACAAAATGGCTCCCAAGACAAAAACACACCACATTAGTCTTTTTTCGAATTCCAGCAGGCTCATGACAGAATGTGGTGGTCCGGTTTTACTCTGGAACTTAAACAATGCAGGGTTTCATGAAAAGCTATACAGATGGTTCAATTTCTTTCTTACTTATCCTACTATTCAAACAAACATGAATTAATGCCACCTCATCAAAGTGTGTCCCGGAAGAAGGCATCCCAAAAATTTTGTAACTAACGTTTATCCTATTTCTAAAGTCCATTAATGACCCACCGGACGAGCTACAAGTGGAGAAGGCAGTCTACGCAAATGATCTAACGATATACATATTTGCATACACACAAATCTAATAAGTGTAAGTCATCTTAACGATGATTTGATCATCTCAGTACATACTGTGAACGTGGGAACTGAAAGTAAACAACACTAAACAGTATACTCGGTATTCGCTAAAATCCACAAGGTAGCCAAAGAGAATATTATTATATCCCAAACACGGCATCATCCTCCAAAAGAAGACAGCCCAAATCATCTAAGGGTCAAATGAGACAGGCGAATCAATTTAAAAAGAGCATGTTCAAAATATGCAAAAGTAAAAAAGACAGCCAAACCTTGTTAAGAGGCTGACCAGTGCATCATTAGGCAGTGATCACACCAGTTGTAGTGATTAAATACGGCATTGCTGTACAGTCAATTTGAAGCCAGATAATACAGGATCAGAAAAAAGTACAAAGCCAGGCAGACCATTTTATCTCGCGAGGTCTAAGATCTACCCCAAAAGCAGCATGTGAAATACATAGTAATATTGAGCCACTAAATCTTAGAAGAGGGGCAGTTAGTTAAAGAGATATTTGAAAGATACAGAAGACTAGACAAGCTGCATCCAAATATATAGGCAAATGGTTGACAAATGGAGCTCCCACCATATAATTAAAGAGCAATCAATATTAAGTGTGCTCTCTCAAATTGAAGAGAAACACCACCTACCAACAGACAGAGAAGACTTGCAAATTATACGTAAAGACCTATTCCAAAACCTACGTTTACAAACAGCTTATATCAAAACAGACCAAAATTGAAAAAATAGAAAAAGACAAGTACAGACCCACTCCATACAAGCAGTTGGAAAAAAAAAATAACATCCTACTCAGAGGATATGATCCACATGTACACAGATGGGCCAGCTTTCAAAGGAGACTTCACATGCAAATTATGTTGTACGAATCGCGTAACGAGACCAACCATGTGACGAACTCTGCAACCCAGGTAAGGCATCTGCTTCAATTATGACGCCACTGTAATGGAAGCAGCGTTAGGTGACTTATCTACAATCTTCACAGCTTATCCCAGCAAACGTCGGGTAGCAAGGCATCAAAACCTTACAAAAACGGGAAAATCACTCCTTCTGAAAATAAACAACAACCCCGAAACATAATATGCTGTCATGTTGAACTTTCAATGGATACCATGACAACATAATATACAAGGAGATCAAGGAGCAAACAAACAAAAACCTAGCAAATCAAGAAGTATCCAAAACCAAGACAAACACCTTCATCATTCAACACAGGACAAACACTTTCATCATTCAACACAGGACAAACACCTTCATCATTCAACACAGGACAAACACCTTCATCATTCAACACAGGACAAACACCTTCATCATTCAACACAGGACAAACACCTTCATCATTCAACACAGGACAAACACCTTCATCATTCAACACAGGACAAACACCTTCATCATTCAACACAGGACAAACACCTTCATCATTCAACACAGGACAAACACCTTCATCATTCATCACAGGACAAACACCTTCATCATTCAACACAGGACAAACACCTTCATCATTCAACACAGCGACTCGGATTATCACTAACAACAAGAAGAGTGGTTAACTGGATGGGCTCTGAGCCAACTGGAAGATGTGTTTTCACACACATGCCCATTGCAGGTCCTTCAAATGCAATACATTTTTTTCCACAGTCGCAAACATATTGTAATCGTTTGCGTGTGCTCCGGGACACACACGACTTAATTTCCACCTTAACCGCATAAAACCAGGTAAAACACCAATGTGCCCCCTCCAGACATCCAAATGAGACAGTTGCACATCACCTCTTCCAATGCACAGCCTTGCAGAACTTACGCCTAAACAATCTATCAACAATACCAGACTACACCCAAGCCAGACAACAGCATCACCAGACTACAGCAACACCAGGTTACACCAACACCAGATAACACCAACACCTTACATGCCAAAAAAGAGCAGCTACGGTGAATGTGTAAAATCTTCACCATAACGATAGCTAAAGCCCCTGCCACTGAGTAAATTCCACGTGTTGATCACATATCTAACAGCTATAGGCAAATAACATAATCGTCGTCTCATTATGATGTCAAGAGGGAAATGGTGACTTAATGGCCGACAACGGGAAGAGACATGAAAAGCACAGTCAGAACAAATGATAGCACAGCTTTTCTTTCTAGTTTGTGACACGGCTGATATTAACTGGTTAATTGTAACATGACCCACGTGTACATTTTTTCCTTGACTTCGAGTTTAATGTTTATTTAGAATTAGTTTTAGGCCTCATTGTAAAACTATTATTTTGTATCATTGCAATCATAATTGATAGAATACTTACATAGTGCTTGTAATCCATGCAATGTTAGCATGCTCACAGAATTGACATTTCAGATATTTATGACTGGATTTTTTACTTTCTTCCATTTCTAGGAATTAGATAACAGTTTGACGAGGTTCAGCCTGAGCTCCGGAAAAGTTGGACTGTCTACTGTCTACTTTGAATTAGATCTCAGAACTCTCTTATTTAAGCAAATGTATTCTACGTTCGCCTCTCTCTCTCTCTCTCTCTCTCTTTTCTTCCTCTGTCTCTTTCTCTCCCTCTCTTTTTCTCTCGCTCTTTCTCTCTCTCTCTCTCTCTCTCCCTTTCTTTCTTTCTCTCGCACTCTCGCACCTTTCCAAACAAAAGTCAAGACTCCATGCAAAATTATAACCTGCACTCAAGAACTCAACAGTTATGTATCAAGCATAATTATTTGACGAAAGTCTTGTTACAGACTAATTTTAAGGACAAGAAAAATTCAAACAAGTCTTTTCATGATTGAAAAAAATTGGTAAGTGGAATGAAAAAATACAAATTTCCAAATATATAGATCAAAGGAAAGTATTTTATCGTATCTTATATTTCTTATGTCTCTTTATTTTATCGATCATTCAACGTCTCTAGTTTTCTTTTGATCAACTAATATATACATTTGAAGATTATTATAAATCATAGCTAATACCATCATTTTCATAGAGGAATTTATAAAAAATAAGTTGTCAATAGTTAGGTAATTTAATTATAAATGGCCGCCAATTCAGCACTAACTAGATGGTGCTGGGTGGCCAAGTGGTCATGGCCGAGTCGATCCCAAGTTTATGGACTGGAGTCCGAAGCCCAGAAAAAGCCTAGAAAAGCAAAATCAACACGACCATCCCAGGTGGATAAGACTCGTTAACCTTGGATTGTAGCTCGTCTAAGAGAAGATTAACTTTAAATCGAACTTGGAGATGGAGTTCCGTAGGTTGTATGACACTGACGCGATGAAGATGCCGACAACTTTTACAGATCTAACATGATACCCTGTTGTCATTCACTGGATCATGGTCTCTTTCCAGTCGTCTTGATTAAGTCTTGCCATTGGATCAAATAAAGGCAAGGACGAGAGAGAGAAGCGAACAAATTGAGCTACACTCCTTCATTTTAACAAAGTAGAGCTCAGGTCAAGGCTACTTCTCAGGTTGAAGCCTCGGTCATCTTTGCATGCGAAGGACGAACACTAACAGCTACTCGACACAAGGAGTCGCATCAGTCACCGGTTGATAGCCTCAAAAGAAACCACTTAATGGGGGAACACCGTCAAGGTCTTATTTAACCGCTTCCCATAATGAAATCCCGAATCAGCTCTCTCTAATATGTGAGTGTGTGAGTCGCAGCAAACATCAATACTCACGGGCGTACGAAAACAATACACGTCAAATTATAGGGAGGATCACCCCACTAGACACATCTCATCCTCCGCTGAGCCACAAAGCACACAAATCGGGATCTGGAAAGGGGGGGGGCGCCAGAGGAGTAGATGGGGTGGCGTAGGGTTAGCGGTAAGGTTTCTCCATTGAGTTTTTGACCTCCCCCCGTTCTGCGTCTTCCTCCGCGCGGGAGGAAATCGATGACACCAACTAGGTATATGAAATATTTCCTGGTAAAAAAAATGTCAGCAGCATGACATCTGGTCATCACGGATCTCATCAGAGGTGTTCAAGTAATTGGATTTCCGGGAACAGTTTGATGTAGATTTGCTTTGCAGTTACAACTAAATTGGAAGGGATGTGGGGAATGGGGGAGGGAGGGGATGAACGATGCACGAGAGGAGTGATTAAATTAGGAAGATGGGGTAGAGGAAAATGTAATTAAGAGAGGGAAATTTTTACGCACTGGCTTCTATCGTGAGAAATTAATCTACTATTTTAAATTTATGGCTCGTTCAAACAGTGCCTAACAAAGGAAGATACCGTAGAGAAATACAATAACACAACTACGACACCCAAAACAGTACCAATAACAATTAATATTATTTAATTCAGTAATATTACAATTATAAACAAAACAAAATATACTTACAAATCATCAACTTACAGTATGGTAGATCTGGTACCGGTATACAGTTAACACAGTTAGTACAATGTGCCAATGAAAAAATGATGAATGATGAATGCGAATGACACATAAGTACACGAATAATAATGCACGTCTCGTGTAGGTAAAATATCTATCAATCTCTCTGAATCCCTCCTCTCAATGTGCCTGTCAATCCCTTTCAATATGAGGGTCTACCGACGCGTAAGCCCTGCCTTTCAGAAGTTAATCAGCATTTGTTTACATTTCTAGAACAATCGCAAACATTCTACAAAATACTAGGCGACAGTCTAACCATACTTAATTGGAAAGGCGGTAGTAAGCAAGATACATCAAAAGAATAGGCCACGCCCACAACAAACGCTAACGTCTGCTAGGGATCTAATTTGGGTCAAGCAAAATTCAAGCACTGGAAAATAGTGTACTACATAACAGTAATATAATGGGTAAAATGAAGGGCGAGAGAAGAGGGGAGAGAGAGGGAGTAGAGGGAGAGAGAGAAAGTGTGTGTGTATGTGTGTATATGTATATATATATATATATATATATATATATATATATGCGTGTGTGTGTGTGTGTGTGTTTGAGTGTGTGTGTGTGCGTGTGTGTAAGGAAAGAGGGTAAAGGGGATGAGGGAAACAAGGATAACGAAAAGAATTGAGTAAGAAAGAAAAGATTAGCTTCAGGGTCAATTAACTGGACTTCAAGACATTGCTCGTTGAAGTGCAGTTTATGTAGTCCAAAGTTTCTCCGAATTCAAGTAAGACTATCAGAAACAAAGCTGTTAATAACAGCAGTTGCAAAACTAAAACGTTGCTGTTGACGCTACAGACCAAAATCATGATCTTCTTTTTTTTTTTTTAAATGAGATATTCATCAGTTCATATTTCAGTCCTGAGCTTGTATGTGTCTTTGCATCGTTAAAAAGCATGGCACATGACAGAATAAATCGGCATCATATCATGTCGTCATATATCAGTTAAAAGACTTCACAGATTAAATTTCAAGGAGACCATAAGAAATTTCACATGTCTTGTGTTTGTCTTGTCTGAACCATCACTCTTTAAAAAAAGTCTGACAGGCGGCTTAAACTGGTTTTTTAATCATTTTTTTTTTTAAAGACTTTATTACTTCTCACTAATCGATCGAATTCGTTTGCGTCCTCAAATTGTGTTATCCCACGTGACCCGCTCTCGTTACGCGTGAACGCGTCTGCTTCGTGCTGACACAGAGTGTGTGCTGACACAGAGTGCGTAGTGACACAGTGTGTGTGGTGACACAGAGTGCGTGCTGACACAGAGTGTGTGGGTGACACAGAGTGCGTGCTGACACAGAGTGTGTGGTTGACACA